AAAAACAGAACAGAAAAAAAAAAAAAAACAGAAATATAAAAACAACAATGTTGAAATTAGGTGTTCTTGCTAGATAATTTATGTCTAAATCAAATTCAGTGCGACTTTTAACAGAAGTACAGTCATTGTATTTTTTCTGTCTTCAAAGAAGATACTGAATAAATTGTATAAAAGATGTGTATAATAATAATATACACTGCAGTTCAAAAGTTTGGTGTCAGTAAGATTGTTTAATGTTCTTCAAAGATGTCTCATGCTCACCAAGGCTGCATTAATTTAATAAAAAAATATAGTAAAAAAACAGTAATATTATGAAATATTATTACAATTTAAAATAACTGTTTTAATATATTTTAAAATCTAATTTATTCCTGTGATGAAAAGCTGAATTTTCAGCAGCATTACTCCAGTCTTGAGTGTCATGATCCTTCGGAAATAGTTCTAATATGCTGATTTGCTCAAAAAACATTTCTTCTTATTATCAATGTTGAAAACATTCCACATTCACATCAATTGTGCTACTTAATATTTTTGTGGAAACCATGATACATTTTTGTTTTCAGCATTCTTTGTTGAATAGAAAGTTTAAAAGAACAGAATATATATATATATATATATATATATATATATACTTTTTTTTTATGTATAAATGTCTTTTCAATTTGACACTTTTGGCCAATTTAATGTATTGGTGCTGAATAATAGTAATGATTTCTTTTAAAAATTCTTACTGACCCTAAAGTTTTGAACTAGTGTAAAAAGTATTATTTATATAAAATATACAAATGATGTTTTATGCAAAATTTAGATTATATTCAAAATAATTTAAATGTATTTATTTAAATATACATTTAAATTTATTTTACTATCTATACACAGACTCTCTATATCTTGACAAGCTTTAAGAAAAAAAAAACTGCAAACAGAATAGTCAGTATGTGAATGTGTTGCTTCAGTCCATTTAACTGACTCATGAAAACCACCTGGACTCTTTTCCCCTATACCATGTGCTCTATCATCTGTTCTCTTTTCATGTTTTTCTCTCATCTCTTCCCCCTCCAAATCAATGGGTCAGTGAGAGTACCATGATGGTCCGAGCTGGATGTCTGTAAACTGGGCGGGGGGTTGAGGACC